AAATCTCAACCCTACTGTTTTCATATTAAAGAGAATTTTTAATTCTCAAAAGCTAGCTCCTCATTCATCAAGTTTATCAAATTTTGTTCTACTTATTTCTACAATACTAACCACCAATCATTTTTTTAAAGAGAGTTTTTGTTCACCATATAAGTTGTTGTAATTTTATGTCCAACTTCCTAATTAGTAGGGGCAGAAGGGACAAGGGTGAAGGAGGTAGACTGTGAGGAGGGAGAGATTATATATTATGTGCATTTTTAGTTTGGGGACTAAAAATGTATATATATATGGAGTCTCATGTATATAATCTCTCCCTCCTCCCATATATATATATATATATATATATATATATATATATATATATAGGGGTAAAATACATGTTTAGTGCCCAAACTATATGTTTTCTATCATTTTAGTCATCAATCTTTTAACTGTGTCAATTTGATTCTCGACTTTTCAATTTGTGTCAATATGGTCTACGCGAAAAGGCAGATATAATTTACTAATAGAGATCCTCACGTGCATCTCCCATGAGCACACTTGAGATGCATTATTTGGAAATTTTAAAGATTGAGCAACACAAACTGTAAACTTGAAGAACCAAAATGATACGAGTTACAAATTTGAGGGACCCCTCAAGTGGGTCACATGAACATCTTCATTGATTAATTCAAACTGCCATTTTCCATTAGAACAAAATGATATAAATGAAAAATTGAGGGACCAAATTAACACAACCCAAAGATTGGGACAAACAAACACAAAACTCATACTTAAGGGACTGTCAATTTATTTTTTCATATATATATATAATGTAATCATATTTGGGGGAAAGGGCTTGTGAAGTTTTCCTCCCCATTTTATTAATTTTCATCATTTTGATTGGTTAAATTGAAAATGAAAAGGTTCTTCCAACCATATTCTACCATTTGACATATCTAACCAGGGGTGGAGCCATAATTTCGATTCATGGTGGACCAAAACATGGACAAAAATACTTCACCAATTAATATAAGCTATTATAATTTTTGACATATCTTTAAGTGCATATATCAATAATTAATTAAAACTAAAACCATTCAACCTTAATAAGTAGGGAACAAAAGAAAAAGTTGCAAAATTTGTGCCTCAGTTCGTTACACCTCCATCATCGACTTGTTGTTATTTCATGCCTAAGGGTAATCTATAACTAATTTTCTAAAAATTTCTCAACGATTTCCTTTTTAATGTACATTTATTCAATAGTCCACAAATAAATTGCCGTTAATTTTATTAAAAATACTATTTTTGACAACTTATGTAGCCAAAAAAAGTCTCCATACTTAACAAGTATCAATGCTTTCAATGATCATTGAAATTAAGCCATAATTCAATATATTTTTTAAGTTGTTCAAGAAATAGGTGAATAAGAAGTGGATAAAGTTATACTTTTTATGGCAATCACCAAACACTTCCACATGCTTGGGCCACAAAAAGAAAGGTAAAAATCAGTGGGGGCACTAACTAAAATTATCATTTGTGTCTTGCATATGCAATAACACTTAAATGGCAGGGGGTAGTTGTCCACCCTAGACTAATGGTGGCTCTGACACGGTATCTAACCACTCGTTCACTTCCCAACCACTTAGTTACCCCTCATTTAAAAAATATATCACCCTATACCTCTCAATATTTTCTCTAGCTAACTTGTTGAGATTGCACGGATCAATTGTCAATGTAAACCCAAATAAGCCTAGAGGGGGATGAATAGGTCTATCTCAAAAACAATTACCAATTAAAACTAACTCAACCAAATTCAACAATTCAACCCCCCATGACAATCAAAACATAAAAAGAATAACATGAATACAAATCGCTAGCATGTAAGTAAACCAACCACATAAGAACACAACAATTTTTAACACGGAAGTCTAACTCAAACCAATCCACTCTTGAAATTAGTAGTAAAAACTCAATATTTACATTAACTTTAGACGCACTAGTTGTTAGCTATCTTCTAGCCTTGTACTCTTCCCAACCAACTCTCTCGTCATTCAAGTCATGTTTAACACTGAGTCCTCCAATAAAACTTTGGATCAAGCTCCCATCTGGAATTCTTGTTGACTTGCCCAACCATCCAACCACAGATCCTTGATATTCCTCCTCAAAAATCAAGGTGAACTCAAACGGTTTTTTTTTTTAGAAACAAATAAATTTTGAGACAAACCTTGAATAAATATTCACAAGAATACACGTATATCTTGTTCTTGTGACTCTTAATAAAGGACAACCTAAATATATTCTAGGGACAAACTCAAAATCAAGGAAAGCTAGCATGTATTTCCCTAGATCTTTCAAACTCACAACAAGGTTTGGTACGAAACTCAAAAAAAATCTTTGAGACTGTTCTCGCACCGTTTCTTTTACTTGAAAAATGTCCAAGTCTTGCCTTTTTTTTTTTTAATGCAAAATACCCTATGCCCGAGTTTGAAAGGAGTCCTCTTAAAATCAGAAAATTGCAAGTCTAATGTGTTGCAAACATTCAAGCGTGTATGACTTTGCTTGAGCAGTTGATCTCGCTTGAGCGAGCACAGCGAGCACTTGGTCCAAATATTTGCACCGTCTGCTCGGGCACTATGAGCCTCACTCGAACGCTTACTTTAAGTATCTCCTAATTTCACTTTCCAAAACACATATTTGTCAAAAATAATGTTGAACAACAAAATTTCCGGGCCAACTACAATTACGTTGTATTTCAAGATTAGATTTGTCTTTAAATGAATAAAACAACCTAACCACCTATTGGATCACTAGTTCTCTAAGTCAACTTTCCAATCTAGTTCGGTGAGAAAATATGAGAAAATCTTCAGCAAGCTTATTTCATATCCGACTTTCGATATGCTTTAAATCTTGAACTTCCCATCTCAATTTAAACTTTTATGATATTTACATTTATGTGACTTACAGTATCATGTCACAATACTAAAATCCCAAACATATTCCAATTTATGGGGGTTGGGATAAGGGATGAGCGAGGAAAGGGAGAACGGCAGGGGATGGGAGGCACTATAAATTGAGTGAATCACAAAAATATGTGGCTAGTCTATATGCACATATATAATAACATCTTAAAAATTTTAATTTGTAAACTAAAAATAAAAAGATTATCTACGTCATATTCTAATATACGATCCATGTATCAATTCCTTCATCCCTCTGTGGGGAGAGCGTTTTGAAGCCTTCACATCCCATTTCTCATTTTCCAATTTTTTTTTATTTAATCTAAAAAAATGAAAAGTTTCAATCAATTTAGCACGTGGACAATATAACCACTCATTCACTATATAACCACCCTAATTTAATTTTTTTTCTAAAATAAGTTTTTATCATCTTATAATTTCTTATTGTTCCAAGGGTGGAGTAAAGAGAGAGAGAGAGAGGAATGAGGGTCGGGGAAGGAAGAAGGGTGGGAGGGGTAAGAAAGAAATTGTAAAATCCGTATATTGTACAAGTTCACTATATACAGTATTAGCTAATATGGTATTGAATTTTATATGATTAAATGTGGGACCCAAAAATATTGTTGCATTGCCACCTAATTTGATTCCATTTTTAGTCAACTTAACTTAGCATAATTCTTTGAAAATATGATTTGGTGGTAAATATTTAAGTGGATGGATGGTAGGTTTCGGACATGTAAATTGTTGCCGAAAATACGGACTTTTAGCCATATCATTTCTATTGTGGTTCTTAGAATTGGATATTTGTGTATGGCCCAATACAACACATTGGCCCTTTTAATTACTTTGATCCATCCTTGGAAATTCAAACAGGACATTTTCACATTATCCTTGTTAACTAGTTTCGACCTTTTACATAATATATAATGTGACAATTATAATTATAATTAAACATAATATGGAGATCTCTTTTGTCAATAAATTAAGAATAATTCGTATCTGAAAGTACAGTACGGTACGGTACAACGTAAAATTGTTGAAGGCAACAATAATTCTTCGTCAACGTTATAGACGTCATGCCTCTCTCTCTCTACTCAGTAAATGGGTTGGAAGATAGAGAGCAAATCTTAGAAGTTTCAGAGATGAGGATTAAACTTAGGGATATGTACAACTTTCTTACCGGTACTGGTAGGTTCTTCTCAGTTGAAAGAGAAGAAAGATGGTGGCATTGGTTTGAACCCTGGTTGTGCCATGACCGACTCCGCTTTATAGATATGACTTTAAGAAAAAATTACACTCAGACCCCGCATAGTTTACTAAAATATTAGGCACCTCGCTCTTAATTTCTGAAATTAGTTTCTTAGTGGATTTTACTTTTATATCTCAATCTTTGTGGGTGTGAGATTTTTTTTTTTTTTTTTTTGTAGGGGTGATTTGAAATTTTCGAATTGTGCTATCCACTTTTGAGTTGTTTCCATCAGGTTTTTCCCTTGATTAGTATTCTATTGTTGCTCATTAGCTCATGGGGTTGGTCTTTGATGTATATGGTGGGTTCATGGGGGGTTAGTTTTTTAGTCGCTGTCACATTACTCTCTAGCTATTTTTGTCATTAAAGGTAAATCAATTTGTTTGCCTTTAATTATTCCAAAAAATATACTCACACTAATTGACCTAAATGTCCACAAAGGGGACCAGCCTTCAATTAACCCATAATTGCAGAGGTTATGCAAAGAGAGTTTACTTGATGCAACATATATTGAGTATAGCCTACGGAACCGAAAAATTATTTTTTAGCACCGTAAAAATTTATAATTTTTTGTAAATAAAGTTATTAACTTTTTTAGATCAAATTATAATAAAACAAATTGTTTGCCATCAATCCTATCATTGTAGGGTCAAGTTTGCCATTTTTCATCGTAACTAATTCTTTGAGTTATAACATGCCATCATATCGATATGATGCCTATTTTGATACTAAAGTCCTACCAACATGTTGAAATAAAAAGAAAAAAGAAAAGAAATGCCAACTAACATAACCTATAATCAGCATCATGTTGTGTAAAACGAAGGCCAAGCAATAAAAAGAGAAGCTTCATTACATAAGAAATACAAGAAATGGGGATTTTGCAATTTACTGCTATTTTTCATGCCTCTCAAATAAAAAAACAAATAAAGGAAAGTTAACTAAACTGTGTCTTTTAGGAATTCACCGGAAAGTGATCAAGAGGGCAATAACGATTTCATGTTATTTTTCACGCCTCTCAACCTGAGTGGACTCCAGACTAACTGCTTCCGTTGAAGTGCAATAACAGTCGGATGCTTTGGCTTCCATGAACCTGCCTGGGAAGGAGGGCTTCCCATGAACTTACTGCTCCTCGGGCCAACTGGTGTCACCTGTACTGTTGCAGCACTTGATGTTTCCTTCAACTGTGGCAATGGAGAGCGCACCCTTGAGGTACGCCATAACCTTTGTGGATCCCAAACAAATGATTGCCTACCCATCACACGGTCACTCCTCAATCGAGCAGTAGAGCTATTGAGTGGAGTTGTGAAGTTTGCAGTTGACTCGGGCCGGAGGGTCGCAATGGATGCCCGTCTCTTGGGCTGAACGACCTGGTTTGTCACAGGAGGTGGTCTCACAGCAATGGAACCCCGTCTTGGTTTAAAAACTGTCTTTCCCTTGGTCGCAGCCATTGATTGTCTCGATATATTTTCTTTGTCAACCATTGAAACTGGGAGAAGGGAAGCCCTGGTTTTGGGTGGAGCAATAGGAGATGGAGCCGGCAAGAAATTGGTTATTCTTCGCAGTGGCAGCCTAAGTCTTGAAGGACCCAATGGCGGTTTTTTCTCTCCTGTGGTCTTCTGTGCTTGGTTAAGAGATGACAAGGCAGAAGAGTGAGACGAAACAGCAGACAAAACTCTAGTTTCCTGTTTCAGTCTGGTTTTCCTCTCCTCTGCTAATTGGTTCTCAAGATCTCGGACCTGATGAGAATTTTCAATAATTTAGATGTCTAATGGGAACTTGAACTAAACAAAATACGTCTTAAAAATCGGACACTTGGATTTATCGTGATGCACAACTTCAGAAACTCAACAACTCTGAATTATGTTGGTCTATTTCAGAAGCCCTTTAAGGGGTAGAAATAATAAGGCCATATGCTAGCATGTATAATCTAAATCAATCAAACTAATCTTTGTTAAAGTGGAATGATATCAAGAAGCAGTTGCAAAATGCACTCTACTTATGAGTAATGATCATAACCTTCTCTTGAAGACTTCTGCAGATGTGTTCTCTTGCAGCAATTCTTAATTGCAAGGACTGCACATTATCCTGCAATTTCTTTGTTTCCTTCTCATCATGCTTTGCTTTTTCTGCCTGTTCACAGATCAGAAAAAATGAGTTGCAGCAGGTCTTAACCTTGAAAAGTGTGTATGGGAAGGAAAATATTTCCTAGTGTCTTCCACACACCAGTTGTTTGTACTTGAAAAGTTCAGTGAGGTCTGTCTGTTTGCGAGCAGGGCCATGCTCAATTCCACGCACACGGCTTGCAAAATTCAGTGAGCAGAGGGTTTCTCCTAAATCTGCCGAGCTTGGGCTAATCTGGACAAACATCAAGGTCTTGCAATCTCCTCCTGCATTATGAGATCCTCATTAAGTGTAACTCATCCGGAAAGGCAAAACATGGAAACCATTTACTTCATTTTCACCAAAAACAACTGTAATTCATCAAGATGACTAATGAACTTCAAAATAATACTAAGGCATCGCTAGCTGGACGTGATAAAACAGAATTTGCTGAGGACCTATTCAATGAGATCAAATATCAGAAAAACTTAAGAAGCTCACCTAGAGAGCTCTGCAGCATATGAGTAAGCTTTGAGTTCCTGGTATTGCCAAAGGAAAGAAACAATGAGAAAATAATTCGTGGAAAGTTGGCGCACACTCGCGCAAGAGGGAGAGAGAGAGAGAGAGAGAGATGCCTGTATGGGACGTGGGTCGTCTTAGATGCAAGGGCAGAGATGACATCTCCAAGTGCTGATAAGGATTTATTTATGAACTGGGATTCTTTCAACCTTTCACCTTCGACTTCAATCCTCCCGACGCGCTCACTGCCAGCTAAGTCCACCAGCCAAAGGTGGCTTCTAGTCCTCTGCCCATTCATTAAATTCTCCCCCATGACAGTTACTCGTAACAAGCTACAAAAGAAAGAATTATTGGTCATTAGTTTTAACTTTGATTTTCCAAAAGAAACAACAAACTTTCAGAATAACATAATAACTATTGTTGACATTTAATGGATTTTACAGGATTACACTGACATCCCCTGGTATTTTACCAAAATACACTTGGGACCCATGTGGTTCGGATAATCACCCTAATCGCCTGTCTTGGTTTAGCATTACGCAGACCTCCCCTCAACTAGCCATTAGTAACCTGACAGATTTTGATGACATCATTGATTCAAAGTTTTAAGTCTCTACTTTGTCCCTGTACAAGCAAAATAATGCTAAAATGCTTTTCCATGTACTCATTAGACCCAAATAAGGAAACATAATATCCAGTAATGACCTGGCCATGACGATTATCTGCTATATCTAAAGATACCACACAAAACCCAAGAGGTGTCGCTGTAAAGTACTCATTTCTAAATCATTTCAATTGACAATTAGCAATAGGCATTACAAATGTCAAATGAGAGCTAACAATTACCAGTGAGAACGGCTGCTTAGCTCATTAGCACTAGTGGATCCCACAGATCTAGCTTGACTTCCAGACTTCAGCAGTTCCCACACCTCATCTGTACCATAAACATGAGCTTCAACAAGTCCTGGGACTTCTTGTGTTCCCTCTGCCGATTGCTTTATCTCCAACCTTTATTTCATATGAGAATAAATTACTAAGTGTGTTCCGAAAGTAAACTTAAGTCCATGCGCTGACTTGAGTAAAATTAATGACGAGTAAAGGGAATAAGAGGGATATGCAGACAATTTACTCACAATAAAGAAGATATATTCATGATAAGACAATACTTTTACTGGTAGAACTCATACTAAACACTCACAAATGTGCATATTCAAAAAAGTTATGTTCCAGCAAGACTTAAAGAGCTTTTATAATTTTGGCGGCTTGAATTTTCCATATTTCTACTAAACTAAAAATCGCCTTGAATATGCCATTACTTTTTCGTTTAACAAGTCCAAAAAAAATAGGTACAACTTGGTGGTTCTTAGATTACATCAATATTATTGAATATCATATATTCATTTTTAATTTGAACTGAATAAAAACTTGCATGTCTCTGCAATTTGCAGTAGTCCAAACAAAGAAAGCCTGTGAAACTTTAGAACAAGGGAAGCTCAATTATCCAGGGCTTTATTATTTTCCACAGTTTTCCCTAGGTAAGATGCTGATAAGAGGACAGTTTATTATTCATCCAAGAGACACTTTCTTGTCAATGCTTATGCAATGGCAGACCACAAACAGGTTAAACATGGAAAATATAAATGCCACTATAACTGGAAGCTTTATTGAAAACTCGTCATAATCAATCAATATTCAATATTTTGGCAAAAAAGAAAAATTGTTTACAGATTGCATTCAAAGAACAGATTGAGTGAGTGCAAGTAACAACAGTAAGCATCACAAGTAATTTGGTGCTGGTAGTTGTAGCTATTAAAATTAATTTAGACTGTGGATTTAAAACACTTACAAATGCAGTAAATTATTACTTATTTACGACCCTGTGCTTATCAATAATAAAGTATGCATGGCATTTTTCAAAAAGAAAAAATAGCAGGACTTAAGAATAGAACCCAGTGGGTAAAGACCAGAGCTGATAAAAACTTACTTTTTAGCAGGTTGGCTGCAGTCCTCCACAAGAAGGTCCCTTATCTTCTCATTGTAAACCTCGAGCATACTTACAAACAGTTCATATCTCAAGATACTGCTCCTTTCATTGGACATCCTAAACAACTCCTCCAAAGTCCGGTAGTTAACTCCCCTTTTTTCAGGTGTTCCTTCCATTGTAAATGTCTTGCCAGTTCCAGTTTGCCCATAAGCAAATATACAAACATTGTATCCATCCAACACCGAGGTTACTATAGGCATCGTTTGAGCAAAAACAGCCTCTGCATATTTAATAAAAACTTTAGGCAGTAAAAGAACCACAAAAGAAATTCTGCAGGGAAAGAACATAAATACACGTGTATCAATGCTAAAATTTGAAGTTACCTTGGTTGTCCTCTGGTCTAAATATATGATCAAACTTGAATTGCTTTCTGGAAGAATCAGAGCAAGTGATCTGTAGCTCATTTTCCTGCGAGGAGTCAAAATCAATTACAGAAGTAGACCCATTAGTGATTTCATCTTGGTTCAATGGTCTACATCTGCAAAAGACCCTGATATTGCCTTTAAGTTCAATCACTTCATTATATAGCCGTTTCCTCTCAGAGCACTGTTCATAGCACTTCTTCCTTAAAAGTTCGCAGTCTTCATGGTACTTCTTTTTCAAGACTTCATGTTCAGTACCTGTAACCCAACAAAGAACACACATAAAGCAATTAAAACGTCCAAACAAAACCCACCAAACAGAACCATGAAGATTAAAAATGAGAAATAAGGGCCAATTATCATCAAAAGGTACATACTAAGACACTGGAGAACATTGAGTACTTCAGAGCCAGGAAAAGAATTTGCAGTGATGCCTTTCATTTCACTGCATAAAACTGTATGATCTTTCCTCAAATTCTGAAACAAATGAGTACTTTGTGACCATCATAAACAAACTGAGACAATAGTTTCATCAAATGAATAGTAAAAGGAATGACTATGAAAACTTTACCTGTACTTTGTTGCTTATATCTTCAATTTTCTGCAGAATCGGAAGTGTGTGCTCTTGATCCGAAGACACTTCTTGGGTTTCAGTCGACCCGTTATGCTCTTCCATCAAATGACTATTTGCTTCAACTTGTGCTGAAACAATACCACAACCTTAAAATCACTAATCATATCCTTTTGTTTCTGAAAAATTGTTGAAAAAAGAAAACAACAAAGTCAAATTTGCAAATATTTAACTTAAACAAAGCAACAATGACACGAAAAAAAAATCTTGCAGTGTAATTTGTGCTTTTGCTTTCTTCGGTTTCCAATTACAATTTTCCTGAATGTACAGAAAATAAAATAAACATACCCAAAGTAAAACACATTACCTGCGTCACAGTTTGCAGTATCTAGGGTCAGATCTGAAACAAAATCAAGAAGGATCGAATAAGTGAATTAAAAAAGAAATCAGAATCCAGAAAATGAAAAATAAAAAATCCATATCCAAGAAAACATGCAGAAACCTAATTCGCTAGTGGAAGATGGCCCCACATTTTGATCGGACACTGCGTCATCACAGTTGTGCGATAGGCTTTTTAGGGTTTTTCCTGAAAGAAGATACCACAATATCTCCTGAGATAAAGAGTAATCGTAGCAATTTTATGGAATAGAGTTTATATGTATACGCATATGTAGGTATATGTTTATACGAGAATGCATATATGCGAGAGAGAGAGAGAGAGAGAGTGTGTGTGTACCTTCCATGACTTGTTTTACTCTGCTTCAGAAATCAATGGAGAAAAGGTAGATCTTCACTGGTACAAGTCGAATTCCTAGAGAGAGAGAAAGAGAGAACTTGAAAGCTAGAAAACTACGAACGGAGAGAGAGAGAGAGAGAGAGAGAGAGAACTTGAAAGCTACAATAATATGAACGGAGAGAGAGAGAGAGAATCGATCCAAAACGGCCAGAGAGGGGTTTTGGTTCAATTTCAAGTGTTTTTCAAATTGGTGAATCTGAGCCGTCCACAGGAGGAGCTGTCTCTAACGGCTATAAGTTGCTTTATGGGAGCGTTTGGGACGATGGGTGCGACCTTCCGGGTTAACGGAGATCCGAGAACGTAAAAACGCTCGGGTCATCCTGGGGTGAACATTTTTCTACAAATATAATGGTGATATCACCAATAATAGCGTGGATCTTATTATTTTAAATAATTTTAAATAATCACTATATTAAATAATTAATATGTTGATATTCTGGAATTCATTTATCCTACATGTTATATTATTATTGATTGATGATAGCACGTGTGACCGCTAACATGTTATATTATTATGGGTTAATCTCATTTTGCATCCCGAAAAATCGTTCAAATCTCAATTTACACCCTCAAAGATTAAAAATTTCAATTTGCACCCTCAAAAATAGAAAATTGTATCAATGTACACCCCAAAAGATCAAAAATTTCAATTTGCACCCTCAAAGATAGAAATTTATATCAATGTACACCCTCAAAGATTAAAAATCTCAATTTGCACCCTCAAACTAAATTGATAAATTATACCTAGATCCCCTCATGTTTGTCACTTAATCATTTGAACCCCTTCACATTTAGAATATTACCCCTACATCTCATGACGTTTGTACATGTGTAAACATAACCACTTTTTGTTGATATCTATTAATATAATCGTTAAAAAAATATGATTTTATCATAATAAAAAATTATAATTTCATATTACCCTTTATTTTGTGGATTCGATATACTCTAAAGTTCAAAATCAAGCTTACTATTTGAATGTCTAATAGAATGTAGATATTTATAAAAAGGAAAATATGAAAAACATTATATAAATATCTACATTTTATTAGACATTCAAATGGTAAGTTTGATTTTGAACTTTAGAGTATATTGGACCCATAAAATAAGGGTAATATGAAATTATAATTTTTATTAGGATAAAATTATATTTTTTAACGGTTATATTAACGGATATCAATGAAAATGGGTTACACGTTATACGTGCATAAATGTCATGAGATGTAGGAGTAATATTCTAAATGTAAAGAGGTCCAAATGATTAAGTGACAAACATGAGAGGATCTAGGTATAATTTATCAATTTAATTTTAGGTGCATAATGATACAAATTTCTATATTTGAGAGTGCAAATTGAGATTTTTTATCCTTGGGGTGCACATTGATATAAATTTCTATCTTTGAGGGTGCAAATTGAGATTTTTTATCTTTGGGGTGCATATTGATACAAATTTCTATCTTTGAGGGTGCAAATTGAGATTTTTGATCTTTGGGGGTGCACATTGATACAAATTTCTATCTTTGAGGGTGCAAATTGAGATTTTTGCTTTTGAGGGTGCAAATTGAGATTCGAACTATCTTTTGGGGTGTAAAATGAGATTAACCCTATTATTATTGATTGATGATAGCACGTGCGACCGCTAACATTGTATCTTTATTACACTAAATATTTACTCCTCCTAGGAATTTGTTGAAAAAAGTTCAACCAAATAATTTTTATTAATTCGACTTGCATACATGTAATTCATGAAATTTTGAAAAATTGAGCTTAATATTCAACAAGGGTAACAAAAATTGTATACCCATTGGTAATATTTTTTTCAAAATATTTTTCTAAGCAAAAAACAATATTATAAAAGTCATTATTTTTAAAAAAGTTATTTTTATGCATCTTAATTCATATATAATTTATATCTTTACATATATGCATGTATGCGCTACTATACATGTGATTAAGAATAAAGTAATAGAGTAAATTCGAACAACAAAAATATAAAATAAACACTACTTAGAATATAAAAAAAAAACTTAAAAACAACAATATACCTTCACTTTGTTGGAAAAAATTTCATGAAAATAAAAAATAACAAAAGTAAAAGCATATTAAACCTTCAAATTCATTGAAAATTTGTCTCTAATCATACATAATAATGGAATTTAAGGAATTTTATGTTACTTCGTAGGAGGGAGAGCTTATCAATTTATTTTGTTGTAAAAATGGCATGTTAACTAAGTTTATATGTTACTATTTGAACATAAAATATCAAATCTCATTAATATTCAGTGTATTAATACTTGACAGTGTAAAGTTAGTGTGAAAGTTCCACGTAGCAGAATTTAAAGAAATGTGAGAGATAATCAACCACAATCATATTTGAAAAGAAAGAAATAAGTAACCGGGAGTTATTGGTCAATAACTATCAACATAAGCAAAATCATCAAAGACAATGGCTATAAAAAGAACATGTAATAGAGCAGGGGTGGTTCGAGATATTTTTGAGCCTAAGGCGGAAACGATACATGACACCTTTTTATTTTTAATATAAATAATAATTTTAAATTGTAAATTTTATACAAAAATACTAATTAAAATTTTATATTCAAGTTTTTGTTAGCATATTTGAACTTAATAGTAAGAGAGAGAAAAAATAATTAAAAAATTATGATGGTAAGTTTAAATTTGACTTTTTTGGGGGTTAAAACTAAATTTTTTTGTAATTTTAGTTTTATCATTAGTTTTTTTTTCTTTATTTAAAAAATAAATTTTAGGGCCTTTTAATTTTACAGCTGAATTAATAGGTCCAATCTATTTAAGTTGAAATATTTTGTTTAGGCATGAATTTAATTTTTTTCGTTTGGACTATTACTGTACACCTATAAATTATGGGTCTTCCTTGAAGTGAGGTCTTAAATTTTTTATTGATTAGACTTATATTTTTATAAGGCCTTTTTGTAAGGCTTAAAATATTTATAGATTTAAATTTTTAATATAGATTATTATGATATTTAAAAATTTGGGGCCTTATTTAAAAATAAGGCCTAAAGCCTAAGCCTTTTTGATAATACTGTTGAGCCGCGCCCCTGTAGTGGAGAAGATGAATATACATTTAAACCTCTAAAAGACCCACGATCTAGGCATTATTTGGAGTAGTTTTAGGAAGTAGTTAGTACTGTAATCAAAATTTATTTATTTAGTCTTTCTATAATCGAAGTTCTTTTGATTGAATTAATAAAGAAATCCTCTCTTCTAAGTTCCATGTTATTTCATTTTGCCATTGAGCAATGTGGTTGTACATTATTTTTTTCATTTAAGGAAGTCCTAAAATAAGGTATTTGAACCCTTTACATATAGTCGTCTGAAAAATGTTTATCGATTGAGATATTTTTATCGATCCCAACAGATTTTGGAACAACAATCTTTTGACATGCCTGTTGGGACAACATTACTAATTTGAATAAAAAAATGGTTCGAACAAAGAAGCAAGACAAGATCATATTTAGTACTAATGAAACTGTGGAAATGATGTCAAACAATGGCAATCATGAAACAAGTTCAAGTGTCAGCCCAGTGAAATCTGCAAGTCTAGAAAATGGCCAATTTAGCGGTCAAAGACAATGTGCGGATGGAAGAGTTTTTGCAAAACTTGAAGCAGACACCGCATAATACTAATTTTGACATTAGCATACACCAATGAGGACCAATTAATTAAAAATCAACCAACATCATTATAAATCAAAATGTGGAAGAAAGAAACACCAATCTTGGCGCTTCCGGTGGAAAACCAAAGGCTACCATCAATGGTAACTAACAAATGACTAGGCTCACTACACCAAAATCACTTTAATATGGTATTCAATAGAGAACTTGTTTAAAAGTTTCCTAATTTCTTCACAAGAAGAAATCTTAGGGGCAGAACCAGTTGGTAGAAATGATTCAAGATTTGTATGGTTTTAGCCTTAAAAAACTGAAAGACTTGGGTTTAAGAAATCATATCCACCATGGGTTGATTTTGAGAAATTCCCAAGGGGATATAATACCTCAGAATTTTACCTTTACTCTGGTGAAAAAAATTAATCAACTATAAAGCATATAGATAGATTCACTTTCCAATGTGGGAAAGTTGAAAGTAATGAGAATTTAAAAATAAAACTGATCCCACAATTTTTTGCTAAAACAGCCTTTGTTTGGTCCATCAATTTACCTATTAATTCAATTCAATTCAGTTCAAACTTGGCAAAAAATTAAAGAGCACTTTCATGTTCAATTCTTTAGGAATGAATTAAAGATTTCAATGGCAGATCTTTCAAGATTAAGGTAGAAATCAAATGAATCTATAAAAAAGTATATTGACAGATTCAAAAAAGGCAAAAAACAAATGTCATGTTTACTTTCCTGAGATTGAGTAAGTTAAATTGGCCCAGAATGGTTCGGATTTTAGAATTAAGAAAGAAATTCAGAGGAATGGACCAGGTATCTGTTTGAACTCTCAGTCAGGGCTACCAGATATAAGATGTTGCTTAGGGAAGGAAAAACAACAAAGGAAAAATAGTTCACTTGGAACTCATTTCCAAGACTTCGATAGAGCACTTTCTAAAGCCAAAAATTGACTTGGCAATTTGTCAAACAACAAGGGAGGCTTTCAGGTGGGGTTATGATGGCGGAGAAAGGTAGAGAGATAGAGAGAGAGAGAGAGAGAGAAAATGGAGATAAAGGGATTATTAAGGGAGAAGAGATGTGTGAGAGTAGGGGCGGAGCCAAAGAATTATTTTTGGATGAGCCCTTCACTATAAGCTGCAATGTTTTTCTTTGCAATGATAAGAGTGATATAATACATTTATATTTATTTGTAGAGGTTAATCACTGAAAAATAGAGGTCAATTACATGTTAATTTCAAACAATTTCTTGTTCAAATTAAAAATATAAAATATAAAAGTGTTAAATATGCAAATTATGGTCAAATGTAGAAAGGTTTTAAAGAAATAAAAATACTAAACATGTAATTATAAACCAAACACAACTTATAGCCTTAGAAAAATTAATTGTGAAAACAAGAGAAACAAGATAAACAAGGACAAAAATCATGG